TACTCCCGCTACTACGTGTGTAAAGTTTTAATTTAGGAGCCTACGACTTCTCGCCAGCATTGTGCTCCTGCTTGGGTCGTGGTCAAACAGTTCGAGTCATGGTCCAGGTTAACAGGTCAAAGTCAACGGGTCAAGTCCTATATAAAAGGCATTAGCCCTCATTGTACGGGGGGGCCCGCTTTCCTTTCCACGATCATCCCTCTCTATACTAGCATTTCTCTCTACTCTCTCTAGAGATTCAAGAACTAAATTGAATAAAAGACCTCCTTAAGCTACATTTATGGGTCTTCCCATTGTTATTATTCTACTATTCTCATACATGCTTTATACACAATGGAATACACATAAAATACATAGATGAATTATCCACATCATAATATATATATATATATATATATATATATATATATATATATATATATATATATATATAGGGTTGCATTCACATGCAAACCCCCTTAAAATACAATCATGAGGACAAAATCTAGCCATAGGATGTGTTTAGATGGACGGATTAGATGTAGAGTGAGTAATAAAATGCAGATTCCTATTTAACGGAAAAAAGGACAATAATGGGAATGCATAGCCCACGCAATTAAGGAAAAGATTATATTAGTATACTAGTATTTGTCCCGTGCGATGCACGGAAAATATGTTATAAAAATATATCCTATATGAGGTTTATTCATATATAAAATTTTTGTTATTTAATAATTATTATGTGTGAATTCCTATGATAAAATTATGAACATAAATATATTTACAATTAAAATAATATTTAAGGTGGGTAAACTATATTAAAAATTTAGTACATAGCATTTAATATTACAAATTTTTAAGAACTTAGTAAACTACAATAGTAATTGAATTACAATTTTAGAGTCACCACGGATCAAAATTTTTAGACCTTTGAGATTTCTAACTCTAGATGTAGCAACATACAATTGACCTTTAAAGACCAAAATCACAATCTTAATTAGTTCGAACATTGATTTTTTCTTCCAAATACTATCGAATTAAGTGTGTAATCACTAAAAGATGAGAACTAATAATTCGAGAATATAATCTTAATGTTACTAAGCCTACTTCACGTCAATTAAGTTGGAGAGTGTTGTTGGATAGTATCCGATGAATCCACGAATAACGCATCTTTGTCTCCGTAGTCCTCAATATGCGCATCAACCATCTTAAATATTAGGCCGCCTAGCTATGCCATATATTAATTTCAAACTTATGAACTTTGGGGTTGCATGCAATAAAAAGTATATTTTAAATATACTAAGGGTACATTATATATGTATGTAAGGTACTTTCAATATAAAAATAATGTATTTTTAATATATTAAAAATGTATTTTATATTCATGATCCGTACAATTATGTGGACCATCGTTCACACAATAATTTGCCTGTAGAAATAAAAATATAAATAAAAATAAAAATATAAATATAAATATATATATATATATATATTAGAAATTGTCCGTGGAAATTATTATCATTATTATTATTACAATTATTATTATTATTGTTATTGTTATTATAATTAACAATATTATTATGGTCTTGTGAAAATTTAATGTTGATTATCACCATTTAATTTTCACAAGACCATATGGCTTTATTATATATAGGATTTATCAAAAAATAAGGAGTTTTAATTATAGTAGGATTGGACTACAACTCTAGCAACGCAATACCATTCCTCAAGATTTGCGAGCAATTTTTTTTCCTGGCGTGGAAGCATGAAACCGAACACAGACACCATGGATGGCGCGTAATCCCAAGAAATTACGATGCGAACCCAGACTTCATGGACGACGCAACCCCAGGTAATTAAGTCGTAGAACTGAGCACTATTATTCTATTTCATTTGAGGAATTATGAACACTGCGATTTGTGTGTTATAATTTGTTTTGGGGTCCAAAGTAATACTGGGGAGGGGGTGAAAGCTGAATACTGGGGAGGGGGTGAACACTAGTAGGCTAGGTTTATGAACAAGCTGAAAACAAAGCTGAATACTGGGGAGGGGGTGAAACGCTTATTTCGTCGTGTGCACACGCTGTGCGATGGGTGTGCACACATGTGGTCTAGATGCATTGTGCGAACATTTGGAAGAACATTGTGTGTTATAATTTTTTTTGGGAGCCAAAAATAATGCATATACGACTTGGTCTGCACTGGTAGTCTAAGTTTTTGCATGCGAACACACACACGCACACATGTGCCACGTTCATGATTTCTTTTAATTTTATTTTAGGGCAGAAAAGGTTTAATTTTAATAAATTCAAAAAAAATTAAATGGTTGTGATCATATTAATTACATATCCTAGTGCTTGTTAAATATAATCTAATATCTTGTGGAAATGTATACGTTCTTTTTATTAAGAAGAGTAAAATACATTTTTGGTCCTAGGCTTATAGTGGCACAGACAATTTTAGTCATCTTTAAAAAAATCAGACAATTTATGAACACTCTTATTGTAACGAGGACAATTTTCGTCCTCCGTCAATATTTCCGTTAGATGCCCCGTTTGAATAGGGATAATTGCGTCTTTTCAACAACAGACCCATTTTCTCTCTGTTTCTCTCTATTCACGAAAACAACAACAACAATGGCAGCCACAATACCACCCATCCTCAACCTTCTTCTTCCTTGCCAACAACAAACAAGTTTAATCCACCAACAACCCCCATCTCCTCCTCTCTTCCCGGCTCTCTCTCTCTCTCTCTCTCTCTCTCTCTCTCTCTCTCTCTCTCTCTCTCTCTCTCTCTCTCTCTCTCTCTCTCTCTCTCTCTCCTCAATGGCAAATCGACAGTAGCACAGCTCACCAACAGCTGGAACTCTCCACCGTCGGCATCCTCTGGTTTTCCGGTGAAGCGGCGACAGGGTGCGGTAGTGGCAATGAGAGAAGTCCCTCTAGCAGCGACGAGCTCCGCTTCCCCTCTCTTTATCTTCTTGTCGTCGACGGCGGCAACGACGGTCTTCCTCGACGAGCTCCGGCAACCTTTGGTCCTTTCTAGCGTGTATCAGACATGGGGCGCTCCAGATCCGGCAATGACGACCTTTGTTTCCGACAGTGGCATGCTAGTTCAATTTTTTAGGCTAAAATCACCCCAAAGCTCCTGTTGCCGCCGCCATTGATTGCCCAGAACAGATCCTCTCCCATGGAGTTCACGGTCAGCTTCAACGTGCGAAAACTCCCAGATCCGAGCAGATGCGTTTCAAATCCTAGATCCGAACAGATCTGAGCCTTCGTCGCCGCCGCCGCCACCACTCTCATCCGCACGCCCGCCTCCTCCACCCAGAAAACTTGGCCACAATCAAAACCCTAGCTTGTTAATTTTCTTTGCGATAGCTGTGAAGTCTCAGATCGATGTGAATTTGGGGAAGAAAATTGGATTGAGGTTGGGGAAGAAACGAACAAGAAGGGTTTGTTTGGGGAAGAAATCTAATCGGAAGTTAAACCCCTACCAAAACAAAGGAAATTGAAGGGTGAGTTCGTTGAGATCTCCAATTCTACGATGGATTTTTTTTTTTTTTTCGTTTGGTCAGTAGTCAGAAATCAGTAAGAGGGAAGGAAGAAGGAATGAGGAAGGAGGAAGGAGGTCTAAAAAGACGAAATTGCCCCTATCTAAGAAGCCATCTAACGGGAATATTGACGGAGGACCAAAATTGTCCCCGTCACAATAAGAGTGTCCACAAATTGTCTGATTTTTTTAAAAAGGACTAAAATTGTCCGTGCCACTATAAGTCTAGGACCAAAAATGTCTTTTTCTCTATTAAGAATGATGAATGTTTATTCATTGGGTGAAGAATGAAGTATGAGTATAAACCATATCAAATCGTGTGCACACAATGAACGATCTGTGTGCATGGTCAAATATTAGTAGACAACTAGATAGGACAAAGTGTAGGTTGTTAGTTTCCGAATGACACATGTCACATTAAATTGCGTAATGTGTGTGTTTATGGTCGAATATGTGTGATTACAAGTAATTAAGACAGGTGTTTAATTGACACAATACTTTCTAGTAACAATATGATGATGATCTGTTTAGTTGGTGTGGCAAACAGAATGTTGGTGGGCTAGATGAATGTGTAATGGACGTTTCCGTACATGGTACAAAGCTTTGGAGACCAGAATGCGACCAACAAATTCAACCATTTGCGGTGCAGTATTTCAAAACAGTAGAACAGGAATTGATTTTGAAGTAGTTGGAGTGCGTACTAAATAGACTGCAGATCATTTTGTTTAAAATAATTGAATAAATCAAAGGAAACAGTACATGGTTGTTGAATTTACTATGTATGCATGAATATATAAAATTTATTATAGTTAATATTTTTAGTACGTGAATAACAAACTTGAGATACTGTGTCTGTGTGTGCACAGAGGCTACCACATGTGTGCGCATGTAGTTTTAAGATCAAAATAACACAATTAGAACTGGAAAATCACGTTTAATACTCACTTTGTTTTTTTTTTTTTTTAATAAAATGACATAATTGAATAAATCGAAGGAAACAATACCTAGTTGTTGAATGAACTATGCATGCAGGAAAATACAAAATTTATTACAGTTCATATTCTTTAGTACGTGAATAACAAACTTGAGATACTGTGTGTGCACAGATGCTCCTACGTTTAGACAGAGCACCACTAATATGCAATGCCCATAACCAACTGGTGCACACGTATATAATGAGCCAAATGATACATCCACTATTTCACAAGGATACATGAACACTGTGCACCCACATAGCTACATTATGTTCAAAAATGGAGACCACATACAAGTACGGACGATGATTTAATCACTGATCAAAACAAAGGGAAATAGCATTACGAATTAAATCTGCCTCCAAAAGACCAAATAGATACAATAGGTGCAATGATATTGCAAGTGTCAAAAAGTTAACATCAAAGCCTAACCCAGGATCAATAAAGTTCTCCCAAAAATTGAGCTAATCGAAACTTCACCATCAGGAGAACTTAGAAAAAACAGATCTAAGTAATCCCAACTCTAAACTTTCAAAAATTTGCCTAATGCAACACCATAATAGTTTTTCATGTTCAAACCAACAAAAAAGTAGTGTCTAAAATGGTCCTTGTAACATCTTCTCTCACTTTTCCCGTGTGAGATAACTGCGAAAAAGAACATTTTTGAATTCAATTGCGACTCGTCGCTATCTAGCGTTCAACTCCTTCAGTGCATCCACAGGAGGTTTACCTTTATCCGAGTGGTCATACTGGGACACTTTGTGCATTCTTCTTCTGTTGACTCAAACTATGGGGCATTCCATGCTGGATCAACTGGTAGCCTTCGTAGAAAACCTCTAGGTGGGCTTACGAAATCATCGTCCTAACAACCATTTTGTGTTTCCATTTGAGGATGTGGCGCAACCCGTTGTTTCTTTACTGCATGCACAAAATCTAAATCAATTCAAATGCACACATGCGTTCATTTCTGAAGTGCTAAATTCCTATACTAACAATCATCCAACCACTCACATTTTTATATTTTCAACCTGTTAAAGTGCACATTTTTCACAATATGACTTTTAAACAATCTGATATCACAAATATACAGCAGTAGAAAATAAACCAGGCATCGTGCACACACATTTAATCTATCATGCACACGCCCACGAAACTATATCAAATTAACCATCGATGCAGTTTTGACAAGAAACTAGATCAATCAACACAAAAAATCAGAAGCACAATGGATGCAAAAACAAGATAGAAAACTAAAATATTATTGGGTAATGACAATTACAATCTGAAATCACAAATATACATCATCAGAAAATAAACCAGACATCGTGCACATGCGTTTAATCTAGCATGTACACACTCACGAAACTAGATCAAATTAACAATTGATGTAGTTTTGACAAGAAACTAGATCAATCAACACAAAAAATCAAAAGCACAATGGATGCAAAAAAACAGGATACAAAACTAAAATATTATTGGGTAATGACAATTACAATATGAAATCACAAATACACAGCAGTAGAAAATAAACCAGACTTCGTGCACACACGTTTAATCTAGCATGAGCACACCCACGAAACTAGATCAAATTAATAATTGATGCAGTTTTGACAAGAAACTAGATCAATCAACACAAAGAATCAAAAGCACAATGGATGCAAAAACAAGATAGAAAACTAAAATATTATTGAGTAATGACAATTGCAATTTCAAAAGTAAAACCACAAACCCATAATCCGCATGTCAACCCCAAAATTGAGAAAAAAACAACGAACCCCCATCCCCAAACGACGAACAGTCCACCCTATTCTGGCCAAAACCCCTACTATTCGAGGAAACCTGACAACACCAACCACCCCTAATATGCCCATCACCCAAAATTGAGACAAAATACCCCAACCCTCAAACGATGAATATAAACCCTAATCTGCCCAAAATTCCAAAATTAGAACAAACACAGAAACTCAAAAACTTTAATCTGCTCGTCACCCCCCAAATTGAGACAAAACAATGGAAACCCACCCCACCCACGACAAACAGAAAAACGGTAATCCGAACAACAACAAAATGACAAAAATGGGGGAAAACATACCGCGACCGAAAACAATAAAAAGAATACATCGACCTACACCCCGAGATGGTGGTTCCCGGCACTTGGCTCCATTGTGGTCACCACCGATGACCATTGTGAAGAGGAGGGAATCGAACGGCGTATGAGAGTTGTGCGGCATGTGTGCGCTAAACAGAGAGAGAGAAAGGTCGGGCTCAATAATTAACCCAGGTGTGTGGAATCTGATAAAATTACATCAAGAGTTAAAACCCAAAAATACCCCCCCTAATAATAAAAACTAGCGCACAACATTTAAATCCCCCATAAATCATTAAATCAATCCTATTCATCCAATCCCAAAATCTAACGATCCTAAACAATCCACACGTTTGTATTTTAAAGACTGTTTGTATTTGAATATAATCCTATATATATATATATATATATATATATATATATATATATATATATATATATATACACACACACACACACACACACACACACACACACACACACACACACACACACACTGAAGGTATAAAAGTATAATTGCACAATATTAGTATAATTACCTAATAATTGTTATGGTAATTAAAAGATTAATTGCACAAATATTAGTATAATTGATTAATAATTATTATGTTAATTAAGCTAATAATTACAAGGATATTAATATAATTACAATCAAACGTGGGTTGTTAGATTTTTTATATAATTATAATAATAATTACAATTAATTCATTCAAATATAGAAGATGAGGAAAAAAAAAAAGTAAAGGCGATATGGTAAAAAATAATATAATTAGGGTATAAAAGTATAATTGCACAGTTATTAGTATAATTGACTAATAACTGTTATGGTAATTAAACTAAACATTGATCGTTGGATTTATTTTTATAATAATTACAATTAAATTATTTATCATTTTTTCTCCTATTTATTTTACTAATAATATAATTACATAAATCATATTACATATCAATTTTTTAAGATAATTGCAGACAAACAAGGCATATATTATTCAATTAATTAATTGATACTTTTGCACTAATCTTATAATCAAATAAATGTATATTTTCAAATATTATAATTGTTTATAATTTCATCTTTAATTTTATTATCTAAATATATAATAAAAAAATTTAAATTCAAATATTTGAATCAATATACAATTATATAAATTATAACAACAAATATTATGTTGTGTAATCTATTTAATATTAAAAATACAACAATTGTAAAATTCTTATTCTTATTTTTCCGTCACTACTCAATATTGAATCAATGATATTTAGTTTACTCCAATCCATTTATGCGACTTTGTTATTTGCTTTTCATTATTTATAAATAAACTAATTTGTTATTTTTTGTTTTTTTTTTTTTTTTTTTTTTTGTTTTTTTTTTTTTTGTTTTAAGAGTTGATGTTATCGGATTCAAATAACAAATAGTTTGCTCTGGTGGAGTTGGAGAAGTTGTTATTTTTGTGGGGGAAGAGCTTGAAGGACTTTCTAGAAATACCAAATCCAGATGAAACTATCATTGGTTTGAGTGAAAACATGTTGATAGTCGAAGAGTTTGCGTATGACAAGGAATCGTTGAAGACAGAGCATGAAACATTGGTAACACAATTGACCGACGAGCAAAATAATGTTTACGACTCTGTGATAAATGATATTGATTCCAATGGATGTGGATTGTTCTTTGTGTATGGTTATAGGGGAACATGCAAGACATTCGTATGGAGAACGTTATTGTCAAAGATAAGAAGTCGCGGTGATATTGTTCTGAATGTTGCTTCCAGTGCAATAGCATCTCTGTTCTTTCTAGGAGGCAGGATGTCGCATTCCAAATTTGCTATACCACTCTCTTTGAACAAAGATTCCACGTGCAATATATCGCAAGGCAGTGACCTTGCTGAGCATATAATAAGGAGCAAATTGATAATACGGGATGAAGCACTGATGACGCGCAAACACTATTTTGAGGCTTTGGACAAAACCATGCGGGATCTATTGAGGTTCGCTATACCAGGTAGTGATGAAAAGACTTTTGGTGGAAAGACAGTAGTTTTGGGCGGCGATTTTAGACAGATCCTACCAATTATTCCAAAAGCAACAAAACCAATAGTTGTTGGAGCAATTATTAATTCTTCATACCTGTCGACAAATTTCAAGGTATTAAAGCTCACCAAGAACTTGAGACTACATACCTTTGCTTCAGAGGAAGCTAGACAGATGGTTGATTGGTTTTCAAAATAGATTGCAGATATCGAAGATGTCATTGCAGGGGTTGTAAACGACGGTTCATTTGAGATCGATATTCTGGCATGGTTTTTGTTGAAGTGTGGACACGATCCCATATCATGCCATGTTAATCTTAATGTTTCTTTCTGTATGTTTCAATGTGTAAATTAAGTTTGGTTGATGGCTACTTGACTTTGAAACGTTGCTCCACTGTTTGCAGTGAGTAAATGTCATATATTATATAGAACAAGATAACTACAAGAAAAAAAAGGATTAATTTGATTTTTCGATCCAGTTGTATTTACACATATAACTAGTGCTTTGTAATTTCATGATCAATAGGTTTGTTTCTTTAATACATGGTAGTTGGTTATCTTTTAATTTCTATATATGTTAGAGAATTAGTGTTATCTTGATGAAGAGATTTTATAGTGTACTATACACGTTAAACCTTTTGGGCACTAAAACGAAAGATCAGGCTTCGTTTCTTAGTACTTTCTCATAATGATACATTATGTGCTTCATAAATGATGCCACAAATCTCTACTAGCTTAGTATTTATTCAAATTCTTGATATTCCTTTTAATTTGTTGGTTTTAGCCGGATAGCAAATGATTGATAATGACTGCAGGTGGTCAAAGATTGCCTCTCATTTGCCTGGAAGAACTAATAATAAAATCAAGAATCATTGAAATATGTGTATCAAGAATGATCGTGTGAAGGGCCGACTGTGTACATTTTACAAATTGAATTTTTTTGGGTGGACATAAATCGGGTCCAACCCGAAAATTGACCCGTTCCACCATTTCGGGTCAGTTTGACCCTTAACGGATCAACCCAAAAGTAAAATGGTATTAATCGGTTCGGGTCGATATATTAAATGAATAAATTTCGAATTCAACCTGAAACCCATATGTATATCCCTAAAATAATATAAAGCTTTGAGAAAATTTCAATTTTGGTCCATTGACTTTTGGAGTTGTGTTAATTGCAACACTTGACTTTCAAAAATGTTAATTTAGTACCTTGACTATGCAATTTTTATCAATTTTGGTCACGCCGGTCAAATTACCGACGAATTGTGACCGGAAAATCTTAAATCAACATTTGAACTGAATTTGAAGGGGAAAAATTGTCTTTTCTTGTTCCTTCCAATTTGGGAAAGTGTTTTGTTGACCAAAATTACACCCGCCAGATCTACTACATACGTCGAGGAAGAGAGAAACTCCGGTCTATAGCAGTCGTAATTCGATCTTTAGAAAAGTGAATTGAATCATTTTTCTTTTCTTTATTACATCTGCTAATTCGATCTTTAGGAAAGTGAATTGAATCATTTTTCTTTTCTTTATTAAATCTGCTAAAGATCGAATCTTTAAATGCTATAGAACGTCCATGTGCAGCAACTGCAGTGGCGGCGAAGAAAACATACATCCTACACATGAAACATCACGAAAAGCCTTCTTCATTCGAAATCCATCTTTCCTCCTCCAGCGACCTTGAACTTTCTTCTTCGACCTTTTTGGCTTCCAATTGCTACGACTGAGACTTGCACAAGTAAACTTGTGACGTCGCGAGGTTAAAATAGTTTGCGGATTTTTCGTCGCCGGTAGAAGTAGTCTCCCAGCTGACGGCGGCAATGGCGAAGACCACGGCAAGTAGCTCCGATTCTCTTCCTCGGCGTATGTAGCAGATCCGGCAAGTATAATTTTGGTCAACAATTGGCTTTCCCAAATTGGAAGGAACAATAAAAGACGATTTTACCCCTCCTAATTTGGTTCAAATTTTAACTTAAGATTTTCCGGTCACAATTCGCCGGTAATTTGACCGGCGTGACCAAAATTGATAGAAATTGCATAGTCAATGTACTAAATTAACATTTTTGAAAATCAAGTGTTACAATTAACAAAACTCTAAGGGGGCGTTTGGTTCAAGTTATATAACATAACCAAGGGAATGTGACATTCCAAAGCTCACATTCCGGTGTTTGATTCATATTATCTTAGGGAATCTAACATTCCCAAGGAATGTCACATTCCCTCCACATACGATTTTGAAGGGAATGTGATTCCTTTCAAAATCTTAGGTAATGTAAGATAACCTTGGTTATGTTAGTTTATTATATATATATATATATATATATATATATATATATATATATATATATATATCTAAAAACATAATAAGTGTCAATACAAGTTATGTCCTTGATTTTTGTCATTTTTTATATGCTAATAAATATATACATTTTGCTTTAATTGTTGTACATTCATTTGCATTGGACAAAATCACCCTTACACCGTTATAACACCGTTAGTTTTTAATATATCTACCGATTTTACCATACACCTACATCTATCATATCTTTTTCCTATTTTTAATTATCATTTTATTAAAATTATCATATAACAATTAATTTAATTATAAATTATATTTTAATTAAATATTTATATGAATGTTAAATTATATATGCGTATCATATATATATATATATATATATATATATATATATATATATATATATATTATTTGTGTATCTATATATATATATATATATTATTTGTGTATCCATATCAATATATCATATATGTGAGTCTTAGCTTAGTATTATTTGTAAATTATTATTATATAAAAATATAATTTATTATTATTATTATTATTTTTGATTTGATTACTATATTATTCAAAAATATGATAATTCAAAAGTATCATCACTTTAAGAAATTGCAAAACATAATTTTAACTAATTTTTTAAATTTTGTTACTTACAAATATTTTAATATTGGGCATAAGTTTTCGCGCATCGCGCGTACAAAATGCTAGTATATATATATATATATATAATTATTTTTGTAATTATATATATTTTTTATTTTTATTATGTTATGTTAGCATATAAAATAATTTTATTTCTCAAGTTCAAGATTTTAGTTAATATTTTAAAATCATGTAATTATATATGATATCGTTATTTTATTTATTTATTTTAATTTTTAAATTTATTAAAATATATGAAAATATGTTAAGGATATTATAGTGTGTATAAAAGATAACTTTAAACCAAACATGATTATATTACATACCCCAATTTTAACCAAACATATGAATCTAACACTCCCAATTATCTAACATTCTCAACAATCTAACATTTCCTAAGTAATCTGACATTCCGTGAACCAAACGACCCCTAATAGTGAGTGGACTAAATTTGAAATTTTTCTCTGAAGCTTTTTATGTTTCTCTTTATTTCCGCCGCCGTTCAGCTCAACCCTTAACTTCACTCCTCAACTCTGTCTCACGCCTTGACTGCGACACCATCGGCCCTTAGCTGGAGTCTTTTGCGTCTCCGACCCTCAGCTTCTCACACCCTGACACTCTTAGTCGCGTGAGCCAATCTCCAGCTATCCGCTTTCCGGTAAGTCCCCTCTAATTCATTTGCGCTTTCTACCTAGGAAACCATATATTCGGGTAGATCTCCATCGAATCCTCCTAACAGGTGTACTGTACTGTTAATTTTTTTTTTTTTTTTTTTTTTTTTCCAGAAAACTAAAGTTGTGTGACTTAATAAAAGTTATTTGAAAACTCATTTGCTCATTCTCCTCTCTGGCTTTCTAGTTTATACAAAGGAAACCCTAGATTTAGGAAGATATCTTTGGCCATGAAGTAATAGCCTAATAGGTAAACTTCACTGATTTTTTTAATTTTTTTTTTTCCAGAAAAGTTTTATGACTTATAATAGTTTTTTGAAAATTTTTCCTTTTATGACTTCGATCTTAAACTCTATTACTGTATGCGGGTATGACTTATTAATTTGTATGAGTGTATAATCTGTATACAGTTTCATGGAAATTGAAGTTCTTTTTTTTTTTTTTTTTTTTTTTTTTTTTTTTTTTTTCAGAAAAATAATTTAAGAAGTTAACTGTAACTTGTTTACAGAAAATTTGTTTGCACTCAGAAAATTAGTTAATGTTTCCCGAAATTTGTAATATTCTTCTACAGTTTTATAACTATCATTACACATTGTCTCAATGCTTTATTTATAAATTGTTATTAGTGACTGGTTTTCATGGTTTTTCTTTTAATTTATAAAATTTAAGTTTTTTATACTTTGTCAGTCTCAAAAGCATAACTACAAAACTAAAGTTTCGTGTAGTTAAAATTTTAACACTCTCACTTCCCAGGGTTCCAGTCAACCATTTGAGACTCTACTTAAAACGGTTGAGAGGAGTCCAGACTTCCATTAGTTCCAGTTCAGATTGAACAAGGTAAGTATCCTCTATGTGTTTATATGGACACTGAATTGGAGAAATGTGATTATGCGTGTATATATGTAAAAATGTGATTATACGTGAGTATAATGTTAATGTCTTAAGTTTTGCAAAAAAACCTTAATAAATATTTTGAATTTTATGTAATGGATGCAAAAATAAAGGAATTTTCTAGTTAAAAACGCAAGTTTGGGATTTTAACATAGCCTCAAATGAAAGAAAGAACCAGAGTAGTAGTGATCGGGGTTGGCTCCAAAACAAAGACTGCAATTGTGTTCGAATGTTTTATTTATGGGCTTGTGACCCAATGCATGCTAACAATAAATGAGTCATAGGTTAGCGTTCATCAGGTTACCCACAAATAAAACATTTGAACCCAATCGTGGCCTTCGTTTCGGAGTCTACCATTCCACTCTCACCTGGAAGCTAACCCTGATCGCTGTTGCTCTAGTTTCATTTTGGTAATATTTTCTTATTTGATAAGCGTAAAAATTATATGTAGTAGGATTTTTAGGTGTAATTAATATATTTTCAACTTAGTTGATTTCACCGAGCCAACCTTTACACTGAGCCAACCTTTACACCAGTCCAACCTTAAAGCGGAGCTAAAGCTCTCTCCACCGATACAAATGGAGCCGAAGCTCTCTCCACCGATACACAAGGAGCCAAAGCTCATAACCACCGATACAAATTGAGTCAAAGCTCATATCTACTAATGCAATAATAATATAGTTCATAATCAAGGAAATATGTGTACATATACCAACATATATTACTCAATCCAAAACAATCAATATCAAGGGAATAGGATTCAAGATCGATTGACAACTAATAGCTGAAACAAGAGGTTTACAATACTCAATAATAACTCAGAATGCACTGATAACGAATCAACAATGCACAGAACAATTTAGGGACAAACACTGGAAATCACTCCGGACCTCACTGTCCATTGTCGCAGGGTTGAGAGACCTGCTGGCTACAAGTAAGAAGAAAACGGGCGTGGGTGGCCGGCGTGAACTCCCCGCCACTCACCCCTGCCGACCGTGTGGGTCTCTCTCACGGGGATGTCCCACCCGTGCGGCCAAAAACCAAAGCAGAAGCAGTAAACAACAGAATCCGAAGTTCAATGAAATAGTAGCTCAAACTCATCAACAACAAAGGCCAAAGCACATCAAGAACTTTATTCCAACATCAAGATTGTAAACTAGCTTTTTCTTTTCTTTTCTTTCTTTCTCTTTTGTTTTGTTTTGTTTTGTTTTTTTTTGAACTTTTCATTGGAATGAAGCAAACTAAACAGGAAACGAACTTCTTACAAACGATCAAGACCCTCACACTTAAACTTTTCTATCAAAGCTTGCTTTTAGGTATAAGCTCCATTGAGATCTCTTTTACAAGATTATCAAAGACAAAAACAACATTCTCTAAAGGGTGGAAGGATATGAATTTGACTAAAAGCTAAGGGGTTTATGATGAGGGTTATACAAAGAAAATCACAAAGAGGGGATTAAGTGCTTAACACTTATTTAACAATGAAAAATGTTCAAAGGGGACACAAGGGATAAACACATATGAGTTGAGCAGGTTTAAAGGCTTTGGGTATTCAAAAATGGCCTAAATCACTTCTAAACATGCAAAAATTAGACTACACTTGAGGAGTATTGAGACAAGTTCTAGTAAGCCAACAAATGTCGGAATTCCACATAATCTTTCACTAGCAATGCACTAATTACTAGATTAAGAATTTAGTCCAATTATTAAATGGTTAACAAGAATATTGACAAGGGAATAGTTCAATCATGTGTTACACTTTGATTTCATCCATGGCACATTGAGATGCAGCAAGTTCCACCAAAACAAACCACTAACCAACATGAGAGAGCAATTATAACTAAGTGCTATGACAAGTAATTCATCAACCAAAAGAGTCATGAATCATCCAAGCAAACACTCAAGTGGGGTACTTGCAATCTAAAGAGCACATGTTCGAACACTTAAGCACAGATATTTCAAAAACCTAAGGGATGGAAGTTAGGGGTGAAAGGTCAATTATCAAAACTAAATACTAAACAACAAAAAGAAAAGCAAGATTAAATAGCAAAGCAATGAAAAAGCAAAAACATAAGGGAAAATACTCTAATCCTTCCCCCCACACTTAGAGAGTTACATTGTCCCAATGTAACAAAATAAATAAGGGGAAATATATTGAAGGATCTCCCTAAACCTGCTACTGGGGATCGGCATCCGGAGGCGGTGGTGGTGGGTAATGGCCTCGGTAGAACTCTAGAATGAACTGAGGGTCTTGAAGCCAATGTGGTGGTGGTGGTGGAAATTGAGGAGTGAAACCAAGGAATGCTTGGTTTTGCTGGTGCACGGACGTACCCACAAACCAATCAACTTCGTGACTCATCCTTCGTAATTCTTGTTGTTGCCTCCTCTCTTCTTGTTGTAGCCTCATTTCTTCTTGGAATTGCCTCATAAAATCCTGCATGTCATAGGGCTGGGCTGGGGCAGGTGCAGCAAGCTGAGGGGCATTTTGATCTTCCCCCATAGCTTCATCCTCATCATCATCATCCCCTTGGGCAGGGGGCTGACCAAGTTTGTATTGGGTGGCAATGTACCGTGTACTGTTGGGAAAGATAAGATTGCGGTAGAACTCGGGCTTCCTGACTCTCATCGATAGGCACTCCTGCCAACTGACAAAGGTGTGTGATGAGGTAAGAGTGGCCAAGGTAGATCCGCCCTTTCACATCAGCAGTCTCTCGGATGTTTCTGTTTATGATGGCCCCTATGTCAATAGTTTTGTGCTCTTTGATGCAGTAGGCCAAAAGGACCCGATCTCTGCGGACATTGCCTTTATGCGAGTGAGGGATGAGCTTAGCTTTAATGAAATCAAGGATAAGCCCGGTCAGAAGGTTGAAAGTACTTGTAATCCATGTGAGAGACCAGACCGCCCCTGATGTTCCATTCAGCAGTTGGGTTAAAAGAGAGGGCAATATTATTCAGTCAGTCCTTACCTATCCTGCCAACACTCAAGTCCCTGTGATAGTAATCATCCCCATTGTGATCAATGGTACCATAATACGGATTGATGGCTGCACAGGAGAAATCCACTTGAACACCCCTGACAGTGCATACATTATTTTGAAGTCCATTTTTGGCATTAGCATAGAACTCACGGACCACAGTGCCAAATGCATCTCCTTGCTGAGCCAAAAATCGAGGTCCCCAATTCCATCTCGCGGGAACCTCAATTTCTAAGCCCCTCTCTTGTCTAATCGGCCTTGTGGACATTAGTCTTTGATATATGTCAAAGCTCCAGCGGTTTGGAACCGCTCAAATGTTGGGGCTTGGGTAGCTCCCTAGCCTGAAATGTCTCCCCTCTTTGCTGTTTGCTTGATGCTCTTGATTTGGGGGCCATTATGAAAAGCTACAAAGCACAATTTAGAAACACGATATGCAACCATTATTAGATAGAGGAATCTCAGTTAAGATGTCACATTTGAGGCCATGGTTCCCAAATTCATCGAAATTGGGCAAGGAAGAATTATGAACTTCATAGAGGCATTTTAACAAACACTTGACGGGCATGGATATGAACAACAAGATGTGATGCAATTAAGCACTTCCTAAGTATCCCATAAGTGCACAACATAAACCAACACCACACTACAATCTCCAATAGCCATTACAAAAGAAAATTAAACTAAACTCAAGAATAAAAATAGAATAAGTATGCAAGAAACTATCAAAAGGAAGTAGAATGCTAAACTAGTATTCTAGAATCAAAATTCGAGTGCATGGCAATATAAACATGTAAGAACATCAATTTGAGCAATAACAAGTGAAGAAACACTAACCCAAAGCAAATTAATTCTCAAACACCAAAGATAGCATAAATTCGTGGGTTAGGTTTCTTGCCCAAAAATTAAGAATTTTCCAACAAATATTGAAGAATTAGATGGCAAAAATGTTTTTAAATGTTACCTTGAAGTCTTGGAAGAAGTTTGGAGTGAAGAGGATTTGAGTGTAGGAGGGTTGGGAGGTGCTTGTGCGAGAAAGAAGAATGAAAGAGATTGGGAAAAATTGGGTTAAAAACGGACCGGTCAGAGGGTTGACTGTCGTCTCGACGCGTCGAAATTTTTCACCCCATAATTTTTTTTGCGACCTGGGCGACTTGGAGATGATAAAGTGGAATTTAATGTTTTTGAATTGGCTAACAAATTTTCTTGTCTTGATGCTTGTTTTTATGTAGATGAAATCAATTCATGTGTTGATGAAGCATTTGAAAGGAGAAATTGGATTGCCAATGATCCTTTGCACGTTGACTTGGGAGACATAATTGAGAAAGGACACTCGGATGATGGCACAAGTGGTGGTGATGAGCCTTTGGAGGTATATGAATCGCTGGAAACACCACTAGTGTCCACTGCATGTAGCCTTGATGGTAATTCCACTTGTCAAAAAGAAAAAGATCCTCCACAGGTAGAATTGAAACTTTTACCAACAAATTTGAGATATGCTTATCTTGGTCCTAATTCTACATACCCAGTTATTGTGAGTGCTCACTTGCATGATGATGAAACTGAAAAATTGTTTGCATGTGTTAAGAAAACATAAGAGGATCATTGGGTGCACTATTGATGATATTGTAGGCATTAGTTCTTCTTATTGCATGCACATGATTTATTTGGAGGATGGCCATAAGCCTAGTATTGAGCACCAACGTAGGTTGAACCCAAACATGCAAGAGATTGTGAAAAAAGAGATTCTTAAACTGTTGAGGGCTGACATTATCTATCCTATCTGAGATAGTAAGTGGGTTAGCCCTATCCAAAGAAAGGGGGACAACTGTAGTGCGGAATGAAAACAATGAACTTATCCCTACTAGGTTGGTCACTGGGTGAAGAATGTGTACTGATTATAGGAATCTGAACAAAGCCACTAGGAAGGACCATTTTCCTCTTTCCTTTTATTGCTCAATTGCTTGAGAGGATGGCTAAGCAGTCATACTTTTGTTTTCTTGATGTTTTTTCGTGATTTTTTCAAATTCCTATTCATCTCGATGACCAAGAGATGACTACCTTTACATGCCCTTATGGTACATTTGCATATTGAAGGATGCCATTTGGGCTATGTAATGCACCAGCCACATTTCAAAGGTGCATAGTAGCCACTTTTTCTAATTTGATTGAGGAACTGAAGTTTTTATGGATGATTTTTTGGTTTATGGTTTGTGTTTTGATAATTGACTTTCTAACCTGGATAAAGTATTGGGTAAGTGTCAAGAGGCTAACCTAACCCACGAATTTTTGCTATTTTTGAAATGTTGAGAACTAAATTGCTTTGGGTTAGTGTTTCTTTGCTAATTATTGCTATAAGTGTTGTTCTTACATGTTGATAGTGCAATGCACTCAAGTTTTGATTCATGAAATTTGGTTTTACTATCTATTTGCTTTTGGAATTTTTATGTCTAGAAGTTCAATTTTTATTCATTGATTAGTTTAGTTTTCTTTTGTACATGCTATTGTGGATTTGTCTATTTGATGTGGTCTTTGTGGTGAATAAATGGATGAATTGGAATCTTCAATTGCACCAAACCTTTTTGTCCAAATTCATGCCCATAAAATGTTTGCTAAATTGCATAAATGAGTTTCATGTCTAATCTTGAAGAGTTTGGGAATCATGGCCTCAATTTTGACATCTTAATTGTGATTGTGATTGCTTTATCTTAATACATGAGTATATTGCTTTCACCTTGTGCTTTGTAGCTTTTCAAAATGGCCCCCAAATCAAGAGCATCAAGCAAACGGCAAAGAGGGGAGACATCTCAGGCTAGAGAGCAACCCCAAGCCCCAACATTTGAGCGGTTCCAAACCGCCGAAGCTTTTGGCAGATATCAAAGACTGATGTCCACAAGGTCGATTAGACAAGAGAGGGGCTTGGAAATTGAGGTTCCCGCGAGATGGAATTGGGGACCTCGATTTTTGGCTCAGCCAGGAGATGCATTTGGCACTGTGGTCCGTGAGTTCTATGCCAATGCTAAAGATGGACTTCAAAACAATGTATGCATTGTCAGGGGTGTTCAAGTGGATTTCTCCTGTGCGGCCATCAATGCATATTATGGTACCATTGATCACCATGGGGATGATTATTATCACAGGGACTTGAGTGTTGGCATGATAAGTAGGGTCTGGCTGAATAATATTGCCCTCTCTTTTAACCCAGCTGCTGAATGGAACATCAGGAGCGGTCTGGCCTCTCACATGGATTACAAATACTTTCAACCTTCTGACCGGGCTATCCTTGATTTCATTAAAGCTAAGCTCATCCCTCACTCGCATAAAGGCAATGTCCGCAGAGATCAGGTCCTTTTGGCCTATTGCATCAAGGAGCACAAGACTATTGACATAGGGGCCATCATAAATAGAAACATCCGAGAGACTGCTGATGTGAAAGGGCGGGTCTACCTTGGCCACTCTTACCTCATCACACACCTTTGTCAGTTGGCAGGAGTGCCTATCGATGAGAGCCAGGAAGCTCGAGTTCTACCGCAATCTTATCTTTCCCAGCAGTACATTGCCACCCGATATAGACTTGGTCAGCCCCCTGCCAATGGGGATGATGATGATGGGATGGAGTTATGAGGAATGATCAAAATGCCCCTCAGCTTGTTGCACCTGCCTCAGCCCAGCCTTATGCCATGCGGGATTTTATGAGGCAATTCCAAGAAGAAATAAGGCTACAACAAGAAGAGAGGAGGCAACAACAAGAATTCCGGAGGATGAGTCACGAAGTTGATTGGTTTGTGGGTACGTCCGTGCACCAGCAAAACCAAGCACTCCTTGGTTTCACTCCTCAATTTCCACCACCACCACCTTGGCTTCAAGATCCTCAATTCATTCCAGAGTTCTACCGAGGCCATTACCCACCACCACCGCCCCCGGATGCCCATCCCCAATAGCAGGTTTAGGGATATCCTTCAATATCTTTCCCCTTATTTATTTTGTTACATTGGGACAATGTAACTCTCTAAGTGTGGGGGGAAGGATTGAAGTATTTTTCCTTATGTTTTTGCTTTTTCATTGCTTTGTTATTTAGTCTTGCTTTTCTTTTTGTTGTTTAGTATTTAGTTTTGATAATTACCTTTCACCCATAACTTCCATCCCTTAGGTTTTTGAAAAATCTGTGCTTTAATTGTTCAAACATGTGCTCTTTAGATTACTAGTACCCCACTTGAGTGTTTGCTTGGATGATTCATGTCCCATTTGGTTGATGAATTATTTGTCATAGCACTATTGCTCTCTCATGTTGGTTAGTGGTTTGTTTTGGTAGAACTTGCTGCATCTCAATGCGCCATGGGTGAAATCAAAGTGTAACACATGATTGAACTATTCCTTTGTCAATATTCTTGTTAACCATTTAATAATTGGACTAAATTCTTAATCTAGTGGTTAGTGCATTGCTAGTGAAAGATTATGTGGAATTCTGGCAATGGTTGGCTTACTAGAACTTGTCTCAATACTCCTCAGGTGTAGTCTGATTTTTGCATGTTTACCTCAGGTGTAGTCTGATTTTTGCATGTTTAGAAGTGATTTAGGCCATTTTTTGAATACCCAAAGCCTTTAAACCTGCTCAACTCATATGTGTTTATCCCTTGTGTCCCCTTTGAGCCTTTTTCATTGTTAAATAAGTGTTAAGCACTTAATCTCCTCTTTGTGATTTTCTTTGTTTAACCCTCATCATTGACCCTTTAGCTTTTAGCCAAATTCATATCTTTTCACCCTTGAGAGAATGTTGCTTTTATTTTTGATAATCTTGCAGAAGAGATTTCAATAGAGCTTATACCTAAAAGCAATCTTTGATAGAAAAGTTAATGTGTGTGGGTCTTAATCGTTTGTAAGAAGTTCGTTTCTTGTTTAGTTTGCTTCATTCCAATGAAAAGTTAAAAAAAAAAAAAAAGCTAGTTTACAATCTTGTTTGGTTGAATGTTTGAATTAGACCCCCATTTCATTTGAGTTTTGCGCCATTTCTGAGTTGCTTTTTGCTGCCTGGATCAATTTATCTCTTCTAGGATTTAACGATGATAGATAATTGTGTTATTCTCTCTTTTTTTGGTAATATTCTATACCCTTTCTTTGTTTACCCTTGACCCTTAGCCCCATTACAAGCTAAATGAAGACCTATTTGATCTTTGCATGCAAACTTTAGGTCTATACTATGAGGAGTATGAAGGGCAAGCTTATAGAATGTTTTTCTGATGTCAAGTTTTGCATAAACCTAACTGAGTATAAGTGCACACTAGATTTCTCACTACTAATAATCTTGGCGCTTGGATATTGGCTTGAGAATGGATCTTGTGTGCCAAACTGAGATGATTTTTGAAGTATGTTATTTTGTAGCAAGTTAGTTTGTGGTATGCAGGTTGTGCATGAGAGAGTGGGGTGATTTTTGTGCTTGACTTGTGATTTATTAAATTGTTTTGCTTGAGGACAAAAGTGTGGTGGATGATATAATCTCATTTGTACATGTTTTTTTTGGTAACTTGAATCAATTTGAAGGCTTAAGTTCATTAGATTGTCATGTTCAATACCTATTTTCTTTGCTTTCTCATTAGCATATGGTTTTAGACTTTGCTTTGAATGTTTTTAAATGTTTGGTAGTGTTTTTAATCCATTGTAGGACAAGTGCAAAAGTAAGAGAGGTCTTTCAAGCATAAGTGGAGCCAAAATGAAGTGGAATTGAAGGCATCGTAGGTTCGACGCTTCGAGCCTAGGGCTCGACACGTCCAAAATTTCCAGCAACCAAGTCAGAAACCTGATCGAAGGTTTGACGCGTTGAAAAATTTCGGTACGTGGCCCTGAGGACGACATTGAAGGCTCGATGCGTCGAGATCGCGTATTCCAGAATCCTTCTTTGGTGCCGAAGTCTCCTAATTTACCCCCATTTGGTTCTTGGTATAAAAGGACTACCTTCCATCAACCCTAGGAAGTCAGGCTGCGTTTTTGGAGGCAAAAATAGAGCAAAAAGCAAGAAGAACCACATCAAGAACAACAATTGGTTTTGGAGTAGAGAAATCGCTAGGAAAATTTGGGAGAGTTCGTTCTCTTTTTCTTTTACTTCAATAGTTGATAGTTGATAGTGAATTCTCTGAAATGTATTGAATGCTGTTATGGCCGAGTGGCTAAAACACTTTGGAAATTTTTGGTCGAAAGTGTTTATGAATCTATGTGCCTAGAGCTTAATTTCATTAATATATTTACATTTAGATTTATTATTTGTGTTGCAATTGTATTTCATACTGTTGTTGTTAGTAATTAAAGGTCTAAATTACTTGCTTCATTGCCATTTTCATGTCATAACAGGAGTTAGGCATAATTTAGGGTACGTACGATTGCACTTAATTATTGCACATTGGAAAATGACATTTGTTGAGGAATTTATTCTTGATTATTGCACATCGGGAGATGGTAGTAGTTAGGAATTCATGAATGCTTGTTCTTAATCTGTTCCAGTGTTTATATTGCGGGAGCGATTATTCACTTATTTTAGGTTGGAGTTACGAGAGTGATTTCCATCCCTTCTTTGCATTTTCACACTCGTCTAAACCCAAATTAAATATTGTATCTGATGGGGAATATGCCCCGGGTTCAGGCTCTCCGTAGCTCCGTGCTCCTGTTGTGTTTGTTTGACAATTTTTTAAAACATAATTATGGGATTTGATTGCCCTTCAATTAAAAATCTCATTTATAATTAAAAATGGGTATCATTCCATCTTATTTGTAATCCAATTTTAAAGTTTGGATTAGTACTTTTAGATTTTTGTTCATATTGGTACTTTGGATGTCATTATCTTAGGATCAATTGCCTTAATTTTTAATTTTTGTATTTTTAAAATATTTATTCTTATTATAGGGTCATACACAACCAACCATCAATATTGGTAATCATTCCAATTTTACCCTACTAACAAACATGCAAAATACTTTTCCCAAAACTCATTATTATTACCAAATATTTGATTTTCATTCCGATTCCGATTCTCATGTGCGAACCAAACACACCATTACTTTTATGAAAAAAAAGTTAATAATCTTGCGTTGATATATGTCAGGATACCGAATGATACTTTGATAAATTCTAAAACACTATTTTGAAAATACACATTGACCATTGGACTATTCGTGCAATGCGCATGTAGTAACTATTATATATATATATATATATATATATATATATATATATATATATATATCACACAATCGTTATACCCTGCATCACGGCGCGCGCAGTATTGTGCGCCTCGTGCCTTCTAAAATGACGTTGTTTTGAGAGGCGCGAAAGGGAATTGACGTGATTATGTGCATTTGTTTATACAATTATGTTTATTTTTTATACAGTTATGTGTGTCTGTTTATACAATTATGTGTATTGGTTTATACAATTATGTGTATTTTTTTATATACAGTTATATAAAACGAAGTCGTTTTGCAGCAGGGTGCACAATGCAATGCGCGCCCTAGTGCACGATATAAATTGCCACTAGCACATGTGAATTGTTCATTTGGGCCTTTCTTCAGGGTTTCAGGCCCAATAAACCCATTTTGGCAAATTATTGGTCCACACAATATTATGTGGGCCATAACAAAAAGTACATTTTAATATACTAAATGTATATTATTTTTGTAGTGAATATACATTATATAATATAATATATACTCAGAATAAAAATAATGTACATCCCCTTAATAAATTGTACATTATTTGTGTACTGAATATACATTATTTTTGTACTGAATGTACATTATTTTACAGTAGATAAAATATGATCCACATAACTTGTGTGGACCATGTCCACACAATAATGATTGACCCATTTTGATCTAAGTCATCTAACCGCAAATTATGCTGTGCAACCGTGTGTAGGCCTGTGCACGGTTCGATTTCGGACGGTTCGGTTTCTGGATTAGTCCACCCGATCGGATTTCGGTTTTCTGAATCCAAGTCCTATCCGACTATTTTTGGACTATACTACTTTCAGATTTTTTTGATTCGGATATAGGACGGTTCAGATATCGGTTCGGGTAACTTCAGATTTCATATTCAACAAATTTAAGTAAAAAACTAGCTAAAATTCCATATCATTTATGTCAAAGTTACTTAGTTACAACTAGTTACAAATAAAAAAAATGCAAAATGATTTACACAATCATTGAATCATACATTCTGACATTCATACTCATACATGATAAACTGATAAATGATAATGACAAAAAGTTCAAATATCAGCATTCAGCAATCAATCCAATCATCATCTTCCTATGAACAAAAATACCATAATGCCTATTCAGCCTTCATCTTTCATGATCTTCCTGTACAAGTGTGTAAAGACAAAACACAAGTTAAATATAACCAATTAAATAGTTTGGGGATTGGGGTTGTTGGGCAGAAAAATGGAACTATGGAAGGGCTCAGATTGCTATGTTTTCATGTCAAAGTAGGATTGGGGGCAAATTGCTACTTTTAGTATTGGAATGCAATTATGCAAACCAAAACTAATGAGCAACATACCAACCCAAAACCATTTCAGACAATGGTGGAAGCATCATCATAGCCAAATCAGTAAAGACTAAAGAGAAATAACATACTGAGAACTTGAGAATAAGGGACTAAGGTAGAGTGACTGTTATTACCAGATGAGATGACATTCATATAGGCTGTAGGCTGATACAGTTATATTCACTCATACCTGATGGGGTCATACTTATCATAGGCAGCAACAAATCCAACAATTGAATTGTTAGTTAGTTACCAAGCCATTAATCCATAACCTTGCTCCTTAATCCAATTTTCTCCATTGAAAATAAAATCAGAATTAAGTGTAAATAAAACATTACAGGAATGGTAGGAAGGGGAAAACCAGCAACCCCAGATCCTGTGATTCCAAATCGACTTATTCCAGTAGCCAAGCCTGCAAAGTGCAAAGTGCAAATAGAAACAAATAAAATAGAATTTGAATGCAAAGTTAAAAAGGTAAAAACAGAATGAAAAATTTAAATAAATTACCTTGTTCAATCTTTTCAACATCATCAATATTTTCCTCAACCTTAACTGGTTGATTTGATAACCTCATCCAGTCTTGTGCACATACTAAGGCCTCCACAATTTTAGGAGTTAAAGAACTCCTAAATGCATCTAATACCCTCCCACTAGTACTAAATGTACTTTCTGAGGCAACAGTGGAAATAGGAACTGCTAGGATATCCCTTGTCATTTTGGAGAGAGTAGGAAACCTCTCACTATTTAGCTTCCACCACCTAAGGATATCAAAGTCAGGAGTGTCTTACACAATTTTTTCACTTAAATAGACTTGAAGTTCTGTTTCTTTATAGCTTCCACTAGCCTCCATTTTTTGCCTTTTTAGTTTGTTCTTTAACATATTTTGAGGTCTACCAATTGTGGTATGAGACTGGACAAGAGGCACATCTGGTTGGCTACCAGAAGATGAATCAGAAGATGATTGTTGCACATTGACAGAGTAGGTTGCTGCATAGTCACCAAACAATTCTACCATGGCAGCTTGGACATTCTCTAAACACGTCTTCCCATTATCTTTACCATACAGTTCCTCAAACTGGTATGACATATATTCCAACTTATCTCTTGGGTCCAAGATATTGACAAAAAAGATCAAGGAATTCATTTTTCAAGATCTCCCCAATAGTTTTCAAATTTAGTTTTCATTTGGGATCCCATAACCTAAGAAAACAATGAATTAAATACAAATAGCCAAACACAAATTCATAAATAATCAGATTAACCACTGAAAATGATAAAATCATTACCTCTGTAGCACTACCAGCAACAATCATGCTACTCAACATGCAACTCAAATCAGATATCTCACTGAAGAAACTGTTAGAGGTGACATATAGAGAACCATAGATTCTAATTGTTATCTCATAAAACCCTTCAACAGAACTACCAAGCATTCAACAGATGTCCAGTAAAGAAAAGAAGGGACAGAATCACCCAGATCAGCAGCAAATGAGGGCTCATTCAATGAATATGCATCAAACACAACCTTGTATTGTATGGCAGTGCTAAGCATCATGTAGGTGTTATTCCATCTTGTTAGAACATCTAGTTGTAAAAAACTTTTAGCTTCCACCCCAAGTAGTTCTGCAAGATCTCTGAATTTTTTGAGTCTTGCAGGTGAGTTCCTCATCCATCTAACAGAATCCCTCACCTTCTTAACAGAACTATCTGCAAATTTAACCCATCCTGGACCACCAAGTTTAAAATGTGGGCTATGCACCTCATGTGAATGTACTTACTCCTAACAGTGGTTGCACGCCATGACAACAATTTTGACTTAAAAAAACCCATAGCAGTATCATTGGAAGAAGCATTATCTACAGTGACAGAAAAAACATCCCTAATCCCCCAGTCAATCAAACAACTGTCTAATGCCTTAGCTATATGCTCATCCTTGTGAGAAGAAATAGGGACAAAGGATATGATTTTCTTATTCAGCTTCCACTGATCATCAATGAAATGGGCTGTAATGCACATATAATTGATCCTCTGCACAAAGGTCCAGGTATCTGTAGTCAAACTAACCCTTTGAGTGTTAAGCTTAAACAGTTTCTTAAGGTTTAATCTCTCATCAAGGTAAATTTGGTAAATGTCCCTTGAAATTGTCCACCTAGAAAGTATACAAAATCTAGGGCAAGCAACCAAAATAAACCTTTTAAACCCTTGCCCCTCCACAAACCTAAATGGAAGCTCATCATTAATAATTATCATCTCACATAATGCCCTCCTAATGGCTTCCTGATTGAAAACCCAAGTCCCTAACTCCCCAACAACCCCTTCAGAACCCCCCTGTGTATCAAATGTTGTCACAGCAGTGAAAGTAAGCAGTGACTGCCTAGTCTCCTTAGAATGTGAATTTTTTAGACAGGCAAACATATGATTTCTTAAAGAGGTAGTGCCATGCTTTTTACTCTCACATTGATAGACTTTAGCACAGTATAGACATTTCAGCTTTATTACTTTGTTTTCAGAATCAAAGATCTTTTCAAAATGTTCCCAGACTTTAGATCTAGACTCCACATTCTTCCTCTTTTTTGCAGGAACAACAGGATTAACCTCAGGCTGCTGAGGAGCATTTGTCTCAGTGCCTTGGGTTACTCCTCCAAGCCCCTCCTTAGTTGAGGGTGGAAGTCCAGATTGAGTCATTTGAGTGGCACTTTCCATCTACAAAGATGGGTACCAGTTTTCACTTTTCAGTTTGTGTGAGTGTGACAGAGCACTAGAACAACCACATAATAAACAATTAAACATACAAAGAAATCCAGAATCAGACACAGTAGTTTGTGTCATCATTTTTCCAGATTTAACAAATAGCAATTAAGGGTCATACATCCATAAAATGATAAACATAATAACATATACAATTATACAAACAAATCCAGATTCAGGAACACACTCCAGATCATCATTATCTGGATTTGAGTTAATTGTTAAGGGCTTCCACCAATAAATGGAAATTCCAACACTGGAGATTTCACATTTAAGCCTTTAACTCGGATTGGGAGATTACAAACTTACAAGGCAGAAAATCCAGAATTCACAAAATCAACACTCAGAAATCAGTTTCTAAAAGGCTTCCACCAATAAATGAAATAATGGCATAATATATGAATATATCACCAAATATTCATCACACTCTCACAGAGTAACAGAGTTACAAAAGACTAGAAGAGACAGAACACAATACATCTCAGTATCTCACATAAATCAAGATACATAAAACTAGGGTTTTCAATTTCGCAATGCTTTCTCAAAATATTGACCACAGATCATCATAATAATATAATATAACACAAAGTCACAAACATTTCTTAATATAAACTAGGGTTTACGATTTACTTGATTTCTCCCAAATAATTCCCGGAGAACAAGGGCTTCTAATCACCAGTTCACCACGGCTTCCACCACTCAGACTCTCTGAGACAGAGAGTAAGAGATTAGAGATTGCAACGCTGAGATTCTGAGAAGCCTGAGATTAGAGATTAAGAGATTACAGATTACAGATTAGAGAGTAAGAGATTAGAGCTTAGTAGCTTACAGATTTACAGAATCGGAGATGAGACTTGAGAGAACTGAGACTCTGAGAGAGTGAGAGTCTGAGAGAGTGAGAGTCGAGAGATGAGATCTCAAACCCTAGATCAGCTGCGCAAATGGGAGAATGAAGACCAACTTGGTGGAAGGCATATATATATACCTTGATGGAACGACGCCGTTTAGTACATAGCTTTGTGAACCCTAGGATAGTTCGGATATTCGGACGGGTCGGTTGGAAAATTAGCATACCCCACCCGAACCCTCTTAACTGACGATGTTTTGCATAGCGGATCGGGTATAGAGAGTCGGGTTCGGGTATTACCGGGTTGGTCTCTCTCAGTCGTCGGGTCGGACGATTTTGTCGGGTGGGTCGGGTTGTGCACAGGCCTAACCATGGTGCACACGGTTGCAAAACGACACCGTTTTAATATGATGGAGTAACGGTGCCATTGGCACCGTTTAACTCCACCAATCAATTTTTTTATTTTTTTTTTTAAACAAAAACTCCAATCGACGTGCAATTCTGAATATATAGTTATGAAGTTATGAATATATAGTTATGAAGTTATGGATATATAATTATGAAGTTGTGGATGTATAGTTATGAAGTTACGGATATATGGTTATGAAGTTGTGGATATATAGTTTTGAAAATTATGGATATAGTTCTCTGTGAACAATCACTTTAAGAATTCTGAATATGAAGTTATGTAATTATAAATGTCTAGTTGTGAAATTATGAATATATGGATATGAAATTATGAATGTGTAATTATTATTTTTGAATGTACTGTTGTCAAATTATGAATATATAGTTATATAATTCGATCTGGATATATAGTTATGAATTTGTGAATATATAGTTATGAATTTGTAGATATATAGTTATGAATTTATGAATATATCCTACTGTTTGAATACGAAAGGAAACCGTCTAATGCTGTTAACTACAATTCGAACGTGATTTTTTTTATTGAAACGGCGTCGTTTTGCAACCGTGTGCACCATGCATGGTGCACACGGTTGCACAGCATAACGATTCGCCATCTAAGTGCTCTGCACCAAAACCTCTTGGGCCATAAGTGGGTTCTTGTATTCTTCATGTTCCGTGTTCCTGGCAATGACATTTTGGCAAATTATATCGTGCACCGCAGTGCATAATTGATTATGCACCGCGCTTCAAAACAACGTCGTTTTGTTTAATGAAAAGAAACAGTACCCGTTTTGCGCCGTTCCGCAAAAAACACCTGACCCGCGAAAGGCTTCTTGGTGGCTTCACACTCTGGAGTCTAGTACTTCGTTGTGCCAGGAGAGATGTTGATAACACAGCCTGTTGAGCAGGGTTCATCTGTAGAGCAGTGAAAAGTTATTAATACAAAATGTTGGAAACCGATTAGGATCTTAGGTTTGAGCCATTATGCACTCCTATTGTGGGGTATTGACCAGTTTGGCACATTCGAGAACACGTAGTGGCACACACGCCGCATCTGGGGCATAGATTTGGGTTTCATCCCTAATTGGCACGTATCTGAGCACATATGTGCACACATGCTACTCTGTAATTACGAGAGTAGGGCACATACAATGCTCCGGAATTGTACATTAAAATTAGTCGGCACACAGCAGGGGGTGGCGGTTTCCGTCTGTGCACTTTAGTGCCTCAGGGTGTGCCGTTCCACTCATCTGCCGGCTTGCATACCAAAAATCAGCAGTCCAAATTCTATTTAATTCAATAGTCGGATGACAAACACCGTAATGGGGTTTCAGGGGACTTACTTTCGTTGTTGTTTGTTGCCGCCATTGTCTCCAATGAGTTTCTTGGTCGTTCCACGTAGTTTGCCGGGGTTGGATGCAGTGTCCGTAATTCGCAGGCGACGGGTGTAGCGCTGGAGTGGGTGTGGAGAGCGTTGAATTAGAGTCCGAATGTATCGTTGAATTAGAGTCCCAGTAAATTCCTTCTTGTTGGCCTAAATTCTAGGGATCTAATCAATTTTATTATTTAAGTCAAAATTATTAGGGTGCTAAAATTACTCTTAAAACCTTTTGAATCTTTTATATTAATGATTAATTGACTTAGATCCAAAGGCTGGGATGGGTTCTTATGTTCTCACCTATTGAGTAGTTCCTACTTGAAGGCCACCCTAGATTAACAATCGTATAGGAACTCATTGTTAGATAGGAACATGAGAATTAATCTAAGCCATTCATTTAAACCAATCTAAGGTGTTTGTTTGTTTGTTTGTTTTTTTTTTTTTTTTAAAGTTTAGTTTTTACCGTAGATTAGGATTGATTTGGGCGGCTAGGGGTAGTATGGTCAATGTACGTGGGCGCGTGTAGGGGTTTGCCTATATTTGTGCTTGTTTTTCGCTATCTCGCTGAAGAAGCTCCCCGCGCTGTAGCTTTTTTTCGAAAATCTCACCGAACGTTGTCTTGGCTGATCGAAGTCCCTGACGTCGTCCTTTCCGATCGTAGCTTCCTCTGAGATGGCTGGCACCGATGGTCGGAACCCTAAGCGCCCACGGCGGTAGACGAGGTTGACCTCTACTCCAGGTCGGTTTTCTCCTCTTTTATATATATATATATATATATATATATATATATATATATATATATATATATATATATATATATATATATGAGTTGTGTAGTTGTTTGATGCTAGTGTGGGTTTTTTTTAGTTTGATTTTGGTGTTTTTTCGAAGCCGGAGGGATAATATTTGGCTGGGGTTTTCTTGGTTTTGTTGGGTGGTGGTGCCGGGGGACTGTGGTGGTGTTTTGGTGGGATGGCTTTCTATGCCTTTCGGATGGAGGTGGGGTTTGGGAGGGGATGGTTTGGCCGAATAGCTGTTGCGGTGTTTGTTTTTTTGTTTTGTTTTGTTTTTTTTTTTTTTTTTCACTTGATTCGATATCATCTTTCATTTGTTTTACAATTACAATTGAACAACCAGAATGTTAATCAGTGGGAACGAATCTATGGACTTAGTATAATTAGAGGTGTCAAAATAGGCTGAAACCTGCTAACTAACCCGCACCCACCCTGCGATGGGGTAGGTTAGGGCCATAGGAAAGATGGCCCGCGAAAATGCCGTATAATTATATCAAACTTCAGTTGATATGAATCTGGTGAAGTATCAAAACCATTTAAATCCATAAAATATACTCTGGATTAAATAAAACAAAAGAGGAATGGAGAAAATTTCCAAAAGGTTACAATTTTACAATGTGAGTTCTTGATGTAAAGAGCCTATAGTTAGTCATCAAAAACTTTTCTAGCATCAAAAAGTTCTATGAACAGTGAACTTTGTCGAACCTGACTTGAGGAAGTGTTAACAGCTTTTATTTGGTATATGGTGGGTGCACATTTGCTTATTTGTTTGTGCCATCTTGGTTTAGTGGGTTTAGTTGATTAGTTTCTGGCTGCTGCATTCTTTATTTCTTTATAATTTTTTTTTGATATGGCCTCCGTGTTTCTAATTGCGTGATTTTTTGTTCTTGTTTGGTGTAATGCATTGTGTAGGTGATCAACCTCAGGGTGAGGGTGGACTGCCGCATGGGGGTCGTGGTACAAATGCCAGGGGTGGTGGTGCTATGGGTGCACGGGCATTCCTTTGAAGGCTGGAGGCTGAACCTGATTATGAGTGGACTCCAGAGGAGGAGGCCCGCTTTCCAAGCATGACAACTAGGTGTTCTGCTAGGGTCCTTGTCGAGGGGTGTCAGAAGCTAGGTAGATGGCAACGCCGGGCAGTTTGTGAGTTGGGATTTGGGAAGTTGTTGGACTTGGAGATTATGGAGACGCCCGGTAGGTTGGGACGGTGGTTGTTGCAGAATTTTGATCCAACAACGATGAAGTTAGGATTGGGCAATGGGGTTTCAGTGAAAATCCATGAAGAGGATGTGGAGGCTATACTTGGGCTACCTAGGGGTGAGGTGGAGATTACGAAGCGAGGCAATAATGATGTTAGTGACTTATTGCTTGCTTGGAGGGGTCAGTTTTCTGCATCGTCGCATGCTATTACACCCACACGGATATCTGATGAGATGGGTTTGTTAGGTGCGGGGTGTGAGTGGTTCCAGTGGAATTTCACAACGTTGATGGTTAGCACGTTGATGCGGTGTATGCATAATGGGTATGCCTACCAGATGATCTTGGACGATTGTGAGGAGGTTGGGAGGATTAAGAATCTGAATTGGTGTAAGTTTTTGTTGGATAGTTTGGTCGAGACGCGTGAACAGTGGTTGGTAAATACGAAGCAGCGTTTCATTGGGCCTATCTTGTTCTTGACGGTAATAATAACTTTTTTTCCATTTGCTTATTGTGTTGTTTTTGCACTAGCGTGTTTGTTTTGATGTGTGTTCCTTTCTGTTGTGCAGATGTTTTATGTGGATCGTGTTGTGTGGATGCGTAGGGCTGTACCTAGAGCTTCTCCAGCTTTTATTGGTTGGACGAGCAAGATGCTCCGTGAGTGGGAGTTTGCTGAGATCCGTGGTGGTGGGTTTGGGTTGGGGACTTTGGTGCCACGGTTCTGTGCAGTTCCACTACCTGGCGAGCCTAGTGATGATGTTCGGAGGGAGGGTGATGGCGTTGAAGGTGGTCCGTCTGTTGGTTCTGTAGAGGATGATCAGGCAAGGTATCTTATCTCTCTAGCTATTGCATTTTTTCCAGGTTTCTTTGTTTGGGCTGTGTATTGGTATGTGCACATGGTGGGGTAAGATGGCACACCCTGGTATGTGCAATGGCACTGGGGTGCACAACCCGCATTCTGATTGGCTCATGTTTTATTTTGTGGTTTTGGTAGGGGGGGGGGCGGGGGGGGGGGGGAGGTGTTGTGTGTTTGTGCTGGGGTTTGTCTGGTGGAGCCGAGTCTAGTGTACGGACGGATAGCTTCATCCAGGTCATGAGCGCGTCGCTTTTGATGTTAGGGAGGGGCATACAAATGTCTGGTCAAGGTGGGGATTCTCAGGAGTCTACACAGTCGTTGTTCACGCCGACTCAGGATGCTTTTTGGGCTAACCCGGATAACGTGCGTGCACTTGGAGAGATTGAGCGTGCCATTCAGGAGCGTAATGCGATGTTGGACATGCCATCTTTTAGCCTCGGGTTGTCTCAGGATTGGCCTTCGCAACGGTGGGATGATTTTGTGGATGTGGTGCGCGAGTATGATGATGCTGTCGGGGTTGTTGATGTTGCCCGAGTTGATCCGCCGAATGTCCTTGAGAGTGATGTTGATCCACCTGTTGTCCGGGATCGAGCTGTAAGTATGCTTGTCTACAAGCGTAAAAAATTTAGGAAGGCTGTAGTCTAGGCTAGCACTCTTGGATTTTTGGGTTTTGTGCGATGCTGTCGTTGTGGTTGTAGTACAGATATTGTGTATTGAAGGCAGTTTATTTATTTATTTATTTATTTATTTATTTATTTATGTATTTTTATTTTGTTTAGGGGACTGCGTTGTATTAATTGGTTTGGTAAGTATGGTGATGTCTTAGGTTGCTGTGTTATTTATTCCTTTAGGCTGTCACATTATGTAAACTCTAGAAAGATATGATCTTCAGTTGTACGATTTTGGTTGGTTAATTTGCCTTTTCGGTATTGCTGTATAGTATGGCACACGCAGTTAAACCTATGTGCACATCTGTATCTTTCATGTTCTCCGCGTAACGAACTCGGTTTCTTTAGTCGTATGGGTTGTTGGTGCGGTTGTTTAGTTTTTATTTTTATTTTTTTTATTATTTTTTTCATTTTGGTTGTACATACAGATTTTTAGGGTGGTCTCACTATCACGCATGCACACTCTTTGCTACGCAGGTGCACACTGCGAGTTTGGTGAACTTTGCGTTTAATTGTTAAATTGTTTTTTTTGCAGTCTTTGTTGAACATGCCATTGCAAACCCCCACCGGGCCCACACATTTTGGTCGGGAGGTAGCTGAACCTCTAGATGGCAATGCAACTCTTGAGGACGGATGCCGAATTGGTTTCGGGCTGCAGTGTGTGACCCCTGTCCAGGTATTGGTCCTTCTTTAATTGTCAGCGTATTGTTTATGTTATGTTGGTTTTTTGTTGATAAATCCGTGTTCGTAGCCGGGTATGTTGCGAAGTGGGTCGGCGTTGTGTGCGCCTGTAAAAGTGAAGCGTCCTCGTGGAGTTGGGGTTCGAGATGGTGGTACGAGTTTGATGTCTAGGTATTTGCCAACTCCCCTCGGGGACCATGTGTTTTACAATTGGGTTCTGGGCCACCCACATGCTAATACGTAAGTATCTCGTTTCTCCGATTTTTAGGTAGGTGATGGTGTTTGTTGTGTTTAAATTAATGTTGTGTTGTTGTTTCTAGTCATGAGGAACTATTCAACTTCAATGGGTGGGCTGCGACACGTGAGGATATGTTTTCATTTTCAGTTGGGTCTCAGTTGCGGGTGGCTGTAATTGATGTCTGGTGTTGCATTCTGAACGTTAGAGAGATTTATAGGCCCGAGGGTTCTCCTCGGAGGCTTTTTGCTGGAATTCAAACCACAGTATCTTCCCTTTTGTCCCTTTTGCCTTTTGTGTTAAATATAATGTAGTTAGCTATGTGTTTTAGAATTTTACTGTGTTCTTGTCCATTTTTGTAGCTCAATACAGTGGTGGAACGAACTCAGTCGCGTGCACGCCGGTTAGATTGGTTCTCCGAGAGGATGGAGATGGGTCTGAAGATGTCTCCTCATGAGTCGTGGCAAGGTGTTGACATGGTATTCAAAATTGTCGGTTTAAGTTTTTGTATTTGATGTTCATTTGGCGTTTTATAAGAGGTCTTTGGTTGTTATGGTCG